CAACGAAGTTTTCCTTGCATTCGGGGAAAGCGAAATGACTCGTCAGTCAATGCTTTTATTCCAATTCCAAAGTTTTCCAGAACATCCTTGAAAGGGGTAGAAATTTTAATAAGACACGGCCGAAGAATCATCTATTGAAAATTGAATTAAAAATCATATCGATGCGTTTGATAAAATTAACATAAAAAAACCTGTCAAGCTTAGCAAAATATAACTATTAGCTATGTTTACATTTTGAGTATTGTAATTTTTATTTTTTTATTTTTAATATTGGAATGAGATCTTATCTTTGAAAAGTTAAGCAATTTTTGTTTTCAAATTGAAAAAAAAGTACTGATTAGTAAAACATCGAAAGACAAATAAAATTGGAGCGTAAAGTGGAAAAGTAGAAAGTAGCAAAGTTAGCAGATATGAAGAGAGAGAAGGAAGAGAAGTAGAAAACACGAGAGAGCGCGAGAATGGTTGGAGGAGAAATAGCTGGCGCAATCACGTGCGGGTTCGAAAGGTCAAGATCAAGTCACAGAGGGAGATGCGATCTGGAATCGTGAATATAGAGAGGAAAGGGAGGGAATACATCGAGCGTGGGAGGACGGAGGAAGAGGAGAATAACATTCTCCTGCACCATCGATTTTAAAAATAAGATGGCAGTCGGCCAATGCTCTTGTTGGAATATTTGCTATTTGTTGTCAATTTCCGTCTTTCCTTTACTTCATAGATACAAATACATAATAGTGTAAAATTAGCTTAGGATGAGAATATTTCACACAGTTGTGCATGTGTACTGGATTCATTAATGCTTTCCATCTCCGGGTATATTTTCGGGTCGGATGTATTATGTCTAAATATTCACACATTTCCCAGAATTATGTTTACAAATGTTTGACAGATATGGTAAATTATATATAATAAATAGCAGATTATACAAGATTAAAATATTTCGTAACAATTTGAATTTTTTTATCAACAGTCGTTACAAACGAAAGTTTAACACTTGAACAAAGATTTAGATGCGTTTGACTTGAAAACATCTAGCTTGGGCAGAAAGGAGAGATAAGTTAATACGTTCTCAATACCGAAGAAGACGCATTTCCCTTTAAACCCCTGCGGCACATGGTCGAGATAGTTAGTCTCAGGGTTTGCTACTCTGAATTGGGGAGTCTTAATGAAGGCACGTGCGGACTCGCCTTTGTCGCTCGCTAAGGATTTCGACACAACTAGACACAGCTTAATTAAGCGAAACCAGTATTACACGATTGTCCGTATGCGTCTATACATGCCCGCGTGAATACCCGCGTGGGTGCGCGTTCATATACCACGATTATATCGGGTGTCCCACGCAATTGTATTTATTGGATGCTTCTACTTTTTATATATTTATATTATTGTATTTTTATAAACAGATTTTTGTTACCTGAGCATGCAATATTTAATTATTAGAATATAAAAAATTTCTTTCGAGCTTTTCATAAATTTCCGATACACACGACGTCTCACGACTTTAAAATGTCTTATTTAATACATTTTCATACACTGCATTCAAACAGTTGTCGCAATACCACATTTAACCAATTAAGGATTAAACGGCGAGAATAGCGCAATTAAGAAATAGTCTAATAATAGTTATGAACACGTCTATCTACGTCACATTGCAGAAATAGTTGCAGTTGCTACACTGCCGCGCGATTGACGGAGGGTCAAAGATGAGTAGTGGATGAGAGAATGGACCTTCCCCACGAAAAGGAGCTGTGTGAGGAGGTTTGAGGCAAACTTTAAATGGAATCTCGTTTTGGGAAGCTGCATACAGTTTAATTAAGCCAGACCCATTTCGCTTGTGTCTACAAACGGTATTTTGCAGTAATGCCTCGACCCTCGTCTCCCCCTTCCTTCCTCTCACTCTCCATTCGACCTCTCTATAGAGTGGACGCCAGTTGAAGGAAGTCCAAGTTCGCCCAAGTCTCGATTCTCGAGTGTCCGTCCTAATGAATTGCTAAACTATCCCGAGTCGCCGCTCAAACGAAAGCTCGATCTCCCTGAATGGCTGATCTCTTTGGGCTTAATGCCCAATTAATCAGGGATATCAACTTTCGACTAAACGTGTAGAATTTTAACGCGTCCTAAAGAAAGATTTTTGTCATTTTCTTTTACATTTTACGATTAATTTACGAGTAAATTTATTAATTACACGGTAAACTTGATGGACTTTTTGATGGAAATAGAAGAACTGGGTCAACAGATTTATGCGCTCTAAAATTCAAGATCTCTCTAAAAATAGTAAACACGGTTTAATGTTGCAATAAATAATATATTACGCAGCAGCTAACAATATAATCTAAATCTCAGCGCGATGGCACAATTGTAGGGAAACTACTGTTAGTAATTAATTTTGCAGCAAACAATAGAGCAAGATAACTTGAAAGCGGTAGAAAAATATAAATTGAATAGGGAAGAAAGAGTGGGAGAGAAAAAGAGAAAGAGAGGGAATAAAAGTGAGAGACAAGGCTAGAGAGTGAAGTAGAGGATGAGAGAGGAACGTGCAACAGGGGGTGGTGATGCAGCAATATAGTGGGACGGGCGGGCGAAAGGGGAGAAGGGGGAAGATATCGGAGCGGGAGGAGACGTAAAGTTACGAGGCTGTTTACAGGCGGCTGTTAAAGCGATCTAACTCATGGCCGGGCATTGCTCCCGCCAGGCTTGGCTACGCACTTACGACGTTATTCACGCTTTATACAGGTCGCTTCAGAGGCAACCGGTTTATTCTCGCAGCTAAATCGAGCAATTTTACAAATTTTCATGTCTCAAATCGCAGATTTGATCGAAAAGAGTGTTTTGTTTTATTTCAAGAATGAAGTATATTACGCGGTACTAGGTAACAGACCGATATGACAACTCGATGATGATATTTCTATACGTTGAGGAATAGAAGAGGGGAGGGATGGGTTTTCGCTTCCACTTCGGGGCCATCCTTCGATCGTTTTCCGCTCGGCGATCTGCAGGCGAATTACCAACTAATATTCGACTGTCGTTCGCGCACGTTGCATCACAAGGCATTCTCTCTTTGAGGGCAATCTCCGGTGCAGTTCCCGCTCTCCCGCTTTCCTAAACCGCATCTTTGCCGAACTAACCCGACGACTCCGACGCGGGAATTCCGCGCGAAGTATTTATTCATCAGTGTTACCCCTGGGTACACGCTGAGCAGCCGCTATCGGAATTTCATAATACCGCTGTCACATGCTGCAATTGATTGAGGGATCACTTGTCCCTCCCCCTCTCTCCCCCTCCCACCTTTCCGCCGTTAACTCTCTGACATGGCAAAAATGTTGCCAAGCCATCAGGAATGACAGGAACTCTCTGCAGTGCTCTGTAAAACAATTTATGCAAGAAGATACGGATTTGGTGATGATATTTTAATTATGACGATTGCTCGTTTTATGATACGATTGAGTTGTACATTGCTTTGATATAGAAATGTAAGATAAAGAACACTTGAAGATTTTCTGTTTAGAATTTGTTATATTGTTTATTTCCCTTTTCTAATTTCTAATCGAAAAGGTTATGCGTTAAATCATGATCATCTTTTATTTATTTTTGACAAAACATTGTACTATGAAGAAGCTATGATGAAGGGATATTCAGGGTTTCCGAGACACCACGTATGTCGAGTTATATTACCTAGACCGGAGACATAGATATAAGGGCACGTAGACAGAAACGCGTCTATTTACGGTTGAAACACGTCCACTTCGCGGCTCGCGGAGTATAATACCGTTTGATGACGTCATTAAGCCAGAGCCGGCTTATTGTTTCTCGTAAAATGTACGTGCAAACGCGTCGTCTCTCTCTCTCTCCCTCCTCC